GAACCACTCTGCACCGGCGCGGGGGAGGGGAGGGGGGGGCGCGGGAAGCGGAGCGAACCACTCTGCACCGGCCGCGGGGAGCGCGGCGAGCGCACAGCCGCGCGCAGAGTGGAGGCGGGAGGGCGCTTTGCGTGGGCAGGCGCGGGCTGGAGGCGCCCCTGGCGTCGGCTCGTGCCTCTGTCCCCCCGCCCCGCGGAGCTGCTGTGGCGGAGGGCGAGGCTGCGGCACCTAGCACGGGGAACGCAAAGCCCAGCCCAGCCCTGCCCTGCCCTGTGGCAGGCGCGCGCCAGGCGCCGAGTTGCTCCGGGTGATTTGGGCCCCTCCAGATGGTCACGTCGAGGCCCGATGCCGCACAGCCCTGCCTCCTGCCAGGTCATGCGGATGGCGGGGTCCCGGCTCTGCCCACGGGCAGGAGGGCAGGGGGCGCCCTGGGCCTGGCATCAGAAGAACCAGCCACGAAGTTATTACCCTTTTTTTTGTGGAATAACTTTGTGGCCTAGTCCTCGCTTGATGATGCCAAGGGGTGGTCAGGTTACAACTTCAGACATGATTAACTGGTTAAGCAAGCTGTAGGTGTAACGTGTGGCAGGTGCCATATAGATAAAAATGAGTATCCAACTGTAAAAGGAGCCAGCCAACTATAGTTAGTGCTTGAAAATGTGTAACAACTCTAGAGCTGGTTTCTAGCCAGCTTTATTTGAACATGTAGCAGGACCCATAGAAAGATAGGACTGGAAGGGACCTGAAGAGGTCATCTAGTCCAGCGTTTCTCAGCCTTGTGGGTCACGACCCAAAAGTAGGTCTCAAGAATATATGAAAAGGTTGCAACCAAACTTCAAAAATGGATTCTCCTTTAAAGGAGAAAAATGGGGGAAACAGTGGCATGCCAGCCTGCGAAGGCCCCCCAGTGCCCCACACCCTGGGGGTTGGGGGGGGTGGAGTTGTTAGTGAGGGGCACTGGGCTGGGACTGACCACTGCTTTTTACAAATGGATCCTGGCACAAAAAAGGTTGAGAACCACTGATCTAGTCCAACCCTCCTGCTCAAGGCAGCATCATCCCTATCTGAACAACCTTAGCCAAGCAATGGTCCAATCTGCTTTTAAGAATTTTCAAGGATGGAGATTACACAAACCTCTCCAGATAATCTATGCCCATGTTTAGCCACCCTCATAGTTAGAAAGTCCTTCCTAATCTTGAAGATAAATTTCCCTTGTTGAAATTTAGGACTGTTGCTTCTTGCCCTGTCCCCTGTAGCCACAGAGAACAGTCTGTTGCCATCCTTTTTATAACCACTCTTCAGGTATTTGAAATTTGTTATCCAATCCCACTCAGTCTTCCCTTCTTCATACTAAAATAATCCTGTTTTTTCCCAGCCTTTCTTTGTAAAGCAGGTTTCTTAGATATCAGGCTTTTTTTTTCTTTCTTAGTACTGGACCCATTCCAGTTTGTCCATGTGCAGTGCCAAAAACTGGACACAGTACTCCAAGTGAGGCCTCACTGGTGCAGAACAGAGCTAAAGAATCACTTCCCTCGACTTGCAGGCAACACCTGCCAAAACAACCTGGTATGCTGTTGCCTTTCTTTGCAGCAAGAGCACACTGTTGTCTCATGTTCCCTTTGCAGTCTACTATAACCCTCCAGATCCTTTTCTGCAGTACTGAGGCCTAACCAGTCATTGCCCAGTATTTATTTGGGCATGTGATTATTCTGTCCTAAATACAGGGGTTTTCATGTGTCTTTTATTGAATTAATTTCAGACCATTTTTCTAATTCATCATGGTCATTCTGAATCCTAATCCTACCTCCAAAAAGTGTCTGCAACTCTACCCAGCTCAGCATTTCCCGCAAATTTCCTGCAGGCAAATTTCCTGCACTGCTGCTGCTGCCTGCATTGCCCAGCCCAACTCCTCTTGAGCCGCTGGAGGTGGGGCTGAGCTGGGCTGGGCTGGGCACTGCTTCTCCTGCCTCGGGTATGAATTAGCCAGGGCCAGGTGGGGTGGGGTGGGGGAGAGCGCTGCTGTGAGTGCAGGCTACTCATATGTGTGTATGGCACCCCACTGACTGCAGCACCCTGGGCAGTTGCCCACATCACCCTGCCCTAAAGCCAGCTCTGAGCATATGTATTTTTCTTCTCTGTTTGAATAGATTGACTGATTTGTACACACTTGAACAAGGGTGGAGCAAACAGAACATCTGTCTGTCCATTTCAGTTCATGAAGTGGCCCACAACCCAGCCAGCCCCAACATTTTCCAGCAGCTTTATAATTGGCTGCAGAAATTGATAAGGCTGTGGGTGCTGGTGTTGGAAGCAGTAGTCAGGTGGTCATCAGGATGATCAACTGCTCATACAGCTTCTGCTGCATTTGGTCATGGGCCCTTATCACCTGGTTGCACTTGAGGAAAAAATAAAACAGTTCCATCTTCCCCTGTCTGATGCTTCAGGTATATTTGTCTAACTGTGCACATCATGCAAAAAGTCATCACTGATCCTCTTTGCTATTCCTATGAGGCGTGAGGGTTCTGTCTTCAAGAACCTGGTGCTGTTGGTATGGTTTTGCTCAAGTAGAAGTCCCTTCCAGGAAAAGGAAAAAGCCGATTATTTGTTGCCTATTGGGGGCAGGATTATCATTCTGTATCTGTTTGATGCATTATCAAGTTGGGGTACTTGGTCACTCTTTATGCTCTAATGTTGGCCTGTTATTTTGTTACTTCTAGCCAGGCACTTAGACCAGAGATACAATTTGTGGGAAATTTCGATTTTAATTATTTAAAAGCAAATTTTTGTGGGTTGTGGTTGAGTGAGTGAAAGGGGGTTGGGTACTAAGACCAGGGACCTAGTAACAGCATAGAATTTAATATTATTTCAGGTCACGGAGAGCTCTGAGGATTTTAATCCACTGGGAATCCCAGAGTAGAAGACAAACCAAGGTTCAAGACTACTGCTAGGAAGCTATCTATTTATACAGAGGGGGTTTTCAGCACCTGCCGACTGAACAGCACACGAAGAAACAGAAAGAGCTATGGAGTCCCAAGGCTGCTATTTGAAATGTGCCCTGCCTGGGAATCTTGTTAACAGTCTTAACATTCTTTTGCATGAAAAAAAACAATCAAAACCATCACTTGCATGGAACAGGGGGGATGCTGGATAAATATTAACAGGATGCTGAGCCAGGATACAGAGGTTTACTAACAGCAAGTGATGCCACAGCCCTGGTGGTGGGCTGGTGTGCTGTGAATACACAGAACAAGGACACCAGGTACTGAGGCCCTTGGGGCATCTTGCACATAATGCAGCAACTTGGATTTCTTGTTTGCTTGGGACATTGTTGTAACAGTAGCAACAGTACAACTGTGTATCAGCCTACATGTGTGACAGTTAAAAAGAGCACTTCAATTCATGCTGCAGTTTCCCCCTATCAATAGAGATAATGAATGCCACTTACCCAGCTGTGGTTTCGGCACTGCTCTCTCACCAGCCTGGGCCCAATTCCAAACAGAACCCAGAAATGCAAACCCTTATCCCTCCAGCTGCATGTCCAGATCCAGGCTCCGTCTAAGCAGCAAGGTTTAATCATGAGTCCATTCTTTTGACATCCTATTCCCTCTATTGCTGGGATCCTCTCTGGTGCCTCCCTGCTCACTCTCTCACTGATCCAACTAACATATCACCCCTACAAAATGTAGTTTCAGGGCACTGTTGAGGATCTAGCAGTCAAAATAGCCACTCAAGCTTTTCATCGTAAGGGTAGGAAATTGGAGAGCTGCTTAACTTGTGGTTACCACCCTATCTCCATGGTTAGAGATCTTTATCGTCAACTTAATGCACTTCTAGGGCTGAACAGAAGGCTGCTTGGTCTTCACATCTACCAGGCCCTTTGGGGTGGTTCATACAAATGTGTTTCAGATTGGTCTCTCAGGCTTATACTCCTGTTTACACCAGAGGTTAACCACAATGCTGATGTGATCCAGAAGCATGCTGGGTTGGTTAATTTTGCTTAGCTGTTCAGAAAATGGATGAAGCTGTGTGGATTGAAGGTTTACGTAAACAGAGCACGGGAGTCTTACAGTGTACAGGAAGCACACAGCAGGTGAGAACACAGATAGCTTGAAACAGCCAGGCTCTGGAAACCATGGCATGTCACTGAAAAGCTATCTAAACATGGGCGCAACAGCATATACTTGGGCTGCAGGCACAATGGAGATTCAATGGGTCAGAGCAGACAAAGCATGGGCTTTAACTCACCTTAGCCATAGAACTTGAGCATTAGCCAAAGCATGTACAAACACATACTTAAGGGTTGTATATGTGGATGCTGGTGGGTTAGGAGCTTAAAAATGTAAATAGGATAAACCCACAATGTACAAAACACTGAGAAAAAGGTGTGATAGCATATTTCAGCTAACATATGCTCACTAACATAGGCTAAAATATGTGTAGATAAGGCTAATGAGATTTTTTTTCTCACTGCTAAACCTTCTTGGTTTGTCCCTTTCCTCATTTTATGTATTAACAAATTTATCAAATTACAAACTTAGCATTTTAAAGATGCATCCAATCCCAATTTAAAGTGCTTCTTTAACCCAAGACAATGTCCACAAGAGTCTTGCGTTTTCTTCAGTTCCTTTCAGTCTTGACAGTTCCTTTTTGTTTCAGTTTATGTTAAGCTTTTGTACTTCTTCATAGCTATAGAATAATTCTCCCTCTTTTTCCCCTCATTATCATCTAATCACCTCTACTTTTGCATTCTGGATTTAATTTAGTATTTGTTCATATTAGCTGATAGAACTTGCACTTTTCTTCAAGTACTCAAAAATTTCTCTCAAACTTCTAGTTTAGAATTAAGAGAAGATTCTGTTTTTTCTTTTCTTTTTTTTTTTTTTAAAGCAAATTCCAAGAATTTCCACCAAATTTAAGTAAACCTCTATTTTCTTTCCCTTCCTGTAGAACCCTGGGGACTTTTCCCTTTAAACAGTTTGGGATGTTTTTGTAAACCAGTTAGTGATCTTAGGGGTGTCACTTTTCTATCAGGCTTTTGTGATCGTAATTCTTGCAACAACTAGATGAGAGGCAGGTTAATGTTTTTTGTGCTTACTGGTGAAGATGAACTTGGACTCCCCTCTAGGATTTAATTTGACCATGTTTAAAACACACATGAAAGGCAGTCAGCTAATCTATATGAGACTAATAGTATATGCCAGTTCCCTCCTTAAATCCTAGGCTGGACTAGGCTCAAGGAGAAAGTGCTTAGTCATGTAAAACCTAATAGTTTATTCCATCAAAACATACTAAGATTATATCTTGCCTTGATTACACTAGGATTTTGATGTGTTAATAGCTGCATTTTATGGGGAAGGCAAGAGTGCTAGTGAACATGATGTAGAGCAATTTGCAGCCTTCCTCTCTCTGGGATAGAAATACAGCATGCTTGAAGTTCCACATTTTCAGTTTATATTTAAAAATCAGGGAATTTTTCAGGATTTATCTTCCAAACATTAAAAACCGGGTTGAAATCGGGATAAAAGGAAGAGAAGGAAAAAAAACAAAAAACAAAACAGGTTTAAATCAGAGAAAATAATAAATCTGGGGGGGAGGGGAGATGGGGAGTGCTCAGTGTGCACGCACAGGAAAGCCTGTGAAGGGGAGAGGTCGGGGGGGGGGGAACCCACCACCCCAGCACCAGCTGCCTCCCTGCACCAACTCTAACCTGCCCTGCACTGACTGGAGCGGGTCAGCCCCAGCTGTGACGCTGGGCCAAAGCCCCTGGGACCCCTGCACCCACCCTACTAGGCGCTACCCAGCCAGGGTGGGGCAGGGCATGAGACAGAGCCACAGCATGGGTCCCAGGAGGCACGTGAATAATGGGTGCAAATCAGTAGAAACTGAATAACTTCAATAAAATAAATAAATAAATAAAAATCAGGTACCTTAAAAATCGGTGAAATTTGGTAAAGACCCAAACTGCATAACACTAAACATATTATACTATGGATCCCAGCATGCAATGCTGCATCCTGACCATGGCAGCACAAGTCAAGGCAGAACGCACACTGCAGTGTATGTTGTGGGTGTCTACGAGCTGCATTTGACCTACACCCTGAATCTGCCAACTCTGGTAAACAGGAAAGTGTTTAGTAATCTCAGTTCTCATACAAGACATTCGTCAAGTATGTGCAAAGGAGGGTAGCACCTTAGGTTGCAAACAGACGTTGCCTTTTTGCTGCCAATAAAAATGTTTATCGCAGCACAAAGTGAAAGCAAACAGATGCCAATGACCAAATTTGTGGCTGTGCTAAAAGGCAGTATTCGTGATGTACATCCATTTGTTTTAAGGCAGAAGAATGCAGGCAACCTGGGGAATTCCTGGAGCAGGCAGGTTCAGGCCCCTGAAGCCCCAGGAGTGCCTGCCCAGGTTTCCCTACTTGCAGAGGCATTAGAATCCCCAGACATGCCTCTGCAAGCAAGGCACCTTCAGTTTCCCCCCTTGCAGAGGCATGTACCAAGTGTTGTCCTACAAGATTGGGCCTGGGAAGGCCTGGGAGCAGAAGAGGCCCTGTGGTACAAGGGTCAACATCTGTTTCATCCAATAAAACAGATCAGCTGTGACAGAAAACATCCCAGCACAGCCTATTCACTCCATTTGGCAATGTCTGTTTATAGCCTTAGAGATTAGCTGGTTTAGAGAGGCGTGAGCCTTTATAGGCAATAACCTATTTGGTAAATACCTCATATCAAGGTATTTACTTGTTGAGAAGATGGGGTTTTCTTCCCCATTTAACATAGGGAAAAAAGCCCCTCACCTTATAACTGAGTACAAGGTAGCAGGGAAAAGACAGCTTCTGCAGCTCCAGCCCCAACCTTGGGCCAGAGCTGGGGCTGAGGCCAGGGCCCTGCTGCCTCTGCACCCCCTGCCAATCCTCCCTGGCAGCTTCAAGCCCCCACTACCCCCAGTCTCCCCACTGCACCACTTCTCCCCCTCTGCCACACTCCTCCTTGCCTTTGCTCTGTCCTTACTGCAGCCTAGAGAATGGAGCACATGCCTCAGCCTGGCCCTGTAGCAGCAGTGCCGGCTCCTGCCCTGCTACCAACCGATCTAGAACCATGCTCAGTGCCACAAGCTGCAGCAGCAGGGACAGAGCTCCAGCTGGAAGCAAAGGTAAGCAGGGAGGAGGCAGATAGTGGTAGAGATGGAAGGAAGGAGGGCAGGGACCCAAGGTTGCAGGGTGCAGAAGCACTGGGGGGTGGCGGGGAGGAAAGGGAGAGGGGCAACAGGGAAAGGGGGATAAGGTCCTGAGGCTGTGGGGGACAGGCACAGGCAGAAGGGGCAAGCTGCCTGCTTCTCTCACTGCCCACACCCTAGCACCTCCCCCAAACTGCTTGCTCCATGGCTTGCCCCCTTACTGCCCTACCACCTGTCCCCCACCACTTCCACTGCCTGCCCTAACACATCCCCTCACTGTTTTCCCCACTGTGTGTTCCCCTACCAGCTTCCCCATTACTGCCCCCTTCATCACCTTTCCCCCACCCCCTTTAACGTGTGTGGGGGAAGAATTTAAGAAGATCCTCCAATAATTAATTCCATACATGGAAAATTATAATAAATTTATAAATTTTCCATGTATAGAATCTAATTACACTGGGAAGGGGGGTCATCTTAAATTCACGGTCATCCTGTATTCAGGTAAATACAGTACTTAGTCAGATGCCTCACCTTCTGCATGATTTCAAACTAATGCACCAAATGTTCAAAAGCTTAAGCAAACCCCAATGATGGCATACCACAGTATGTCAATATCCTGTATTAGGCTTTATTCTTTTATATAAACATTAACATTTCTCAAACAGATTAGTTAAAAATACAGATTTAAAACAAGAATTTTTGCAATTGTATTGAGTTATAAAAACAGATTATTTTACAGATTGTTACAAGTGCTTTACAAAAGGTGCAGAGTGAAGGCCAGTGGCAGGGGACCAACCTCAAGTGCAAAACAGACACAATACCCTCACCATGGGCATAGCGTTCAGGTACATAGCCAAAAACAAAACAAAACAAAAAAAAAAAAAACACTATACAAGCCCATGTGAACGTAAGTTTTCAGGATGTTCACTGGGCAAACAGATCCCTGTTAAAAGTTTTATGAGATCAGGCCACAAGGGTATTTAGGGTTACATCTTAGGGATTTAACTCAATAAGTTGTTTCTTATATAATGACTAGCACATTTTGCAATGCAATTCTTTTTTGTCAGACAAAATATTGCTCTACATAATAAAATACTTAAGGACCATGGGCATAAATCCCTGGTGGGTGATTCTCACCACTGCTCAAGATGAAGAGGAGAGGATTTAAAACCCAGATAGCCCAGAACAGAAGAGTACTCATCACATGGGGGACATCTGCATACACCAAGAGAAGAAATGACTAAAACTTGTCCATACAACTTGGAAAGACCTTTGGCATAAGGGGGAAGACTCGAGCAGAGCTAGTTGTGCTCAAAACTCCTGCAGAGTTCTCAGAGAGCAGTGCAGCCCCTAGGTTGGGCAATACCTATTATTATGCTATAAATACAATGTATTCTCTGCCCAGCTGATAATCTTGACACTCTTACTGGAACACATGAAATACACTCTACATGTCTGGGGGTTCCACCACCTTTCTTACCCAGACACCAACGTTTCTATTTTCCTTACTTTCTTCTGATCCACCCCAACACAAAATCTGTTCCATGATTTTTAAAACTATTTTTTTCCCAGCTCCAAAATGAAAGTAGTGAACAGACTTGTATAGGGATCCACAGGACAGCACTGTGGTCATGGGTCACCTTATAAAAAAATCCCCACAACTTCAAGCATGTTTTCCCTGTTGGGCACAGAAGATGATCCCTGCCCACATGACCTCCCCCATACACACAGTTCTTATAGATGTTAGGGTCAGAAGGGACCTCAATAGAGTATCGAGTCCAACCCCCTGCCCTGGGCAGGAAAGAGTGCTGGGGTCAGATGACCCCAGCCAGATGCCTGTCCAGCCTTCTCTTAAAGACCCCCAAGATGGGGGAGAGCACCACCTCCCTTGGAAGCCCATTCCAAATTTTGGCCGCCCTTACTGTGAAAAAAAGTTTTTCCTGAAATCTAGCCTAAATCTGCTGTCACTTTGTGACCATTGTTCCTTGTTACCCCAAGAGGTGCCCTGGTGATCCCTTGCTGCATTCCCCTAATGAATTTGTAGGCAGCCACAAGATCACCTCTCAGCCTTCTCTCGCGGAGGCCGAAAAGGTCCAGGTCCCTCAGTGTCTCTTCATAGGGCTTGTCCTGTAAGCCCCTAACCATACAAGTTCTTGTTAAACAGAGGGCACTACATGTTCCAGGAATCTATTTTCCAGAGAAAGGACATAATAAACAGGCAGGTCTTGAAACAGTCTCACAAGTATTAAATAGCCAGCAATAGCCACTTCTCTGGGAATCTTTGTGAAGGGCAGCACATAACAGAGACTTTAGGTACAAGAAACCCAGCGATCCCCCAGGAAAACCCACATAGAATCATGGAATCATAGGGCTGGAATGGACCTCAAGGGTCATCTAGTCCAACCCCCTTCCCTGAGATCCTCAGATTCACATGTGCTGGGGACCCTGAAGAAGCCTTTTGCTCCCGAAGATTAAGAGGGTTTGGCAAAATTCCTGCAAATCAAATTCACTTTCAAACTCAAAATCACTAAAAGGGGAAAGGATAGGTGTGGCAAAACCCCAGGACATGTACTCAGAAAAGAAAAACAGACCTTCAAGAGATGTTTGGGATATGGTCTTCAGTTTCACCGTTCTGAGGTGTTTTATGTTATCCACTGCTGTGGTGAGGGCACTAAAATCAAAGATTAAAAATAAAAGCCCCAAAAACAAATACCCAAACCCCCAGCAACCCAAACCATCTGATCTATCCCAGATGCCTTTTGCACAGTCTCAGCACATCACAGAAACCACAGGCTTGTTGCTCCCTGCGCTGTCTAGCCCACAGTTCAGTGCTCTGGAGAGAAGCTGGCTTTGCTTCTTGTTAGCAAAGGCTGGGAGATGGCTGTTACTTCACCAAGTCAGTGCCCTGAGAGCACATGGTCATTCATGCACATCCCAGATTTCAGAGAGCAAGGGAGGGAGCTTTTTGTCCTGCAATCGAAGGGCAAACACCTGCTCAGAATGGACGCTGCTTAAAGTCCGAAGACTGACCAACTTCATTAACATCCGTGGGAACATCAGGTGGTCCTGCAGGGTCACATAAATAGATGGTCAGGAGACTGCATGCAACCAGAGGGACAAGAAGGGAAAGGGGAAACAGAGGAAAAGGAAGAAAAAAAATGAAGAACTCTACAATCTTTCCAGTTGCTGGAGAAGTTGCTACATAGTGGTTGTATGACTAAGTCTTACTTTTATTACCCATAAGACAAAATCAAAGGAGTGCAAAGCATGTAACCAATTTAAAAGGGGGAATGTGACCCAAAGCAGTTTGAGAACCACTAAACTAGACCAAAGTTTTACACAGAAGACTAACCACACACTGAGTGCCCTGCAAGCATAAGCCTACATCCTCCAAGAGGAGGCACTGAAGGAAGTGGGACAGAAGCAGTAATGTGAGGCTTCTTAGCTACTCCAGGCCCTGCCTTTCCCAGCAGGTTGGGATACTGAGAATGGTGCAGGATAGAAGGTTATAGCAGCAGTCCACAACTTCTCCAGGTCCTGCTTCTCCCACAGTAGCCACTGTAGGGCAGTAGTCAGCATACCAGTGGCAGGGGAACTACTGAAGAGAACTGAGCAAGAGCACTAGCTGCCAAGGGTCCTTTTCAGCGTATGAGAGGATGATTAAAGTCAGTCCACACACACACACACACACACACACACACACAC